GTGGAATTCAAGTCGAGAAGAAGAAAAAAAGCTGGTGAATTGTGGAACATGACCCAGGCGTGAATTGAACGGGCTCCTTCTCCTCAATCTCTCCTCTCCAGTAAAGAACTGGAGACGCGGACCATCCATCACTGGGTCTGTATCCACATTGTTTCGACCTTGAATACTGTACTATTAAAATCAATTCGTCAAGGGGTGTGACGCGTGATCCAAAGTTTCAATTCGTCAATTCGTCAAGGAAGCTCGAGCTGCGTGACATCCCCCAAAATTTTGTCAACCAGTAAAAATATTCCAGAAGCTGTGTTGAATGCACAGTGACTCCACGGAATAATTTAGGAAAGACCTAAGAATTTATTTCAACATATCTTTGAGTGATGTGAAAAAATGTGTGTTTTTTTTTGCTGCTGAACTCAAGTTGAACTTGCTCTGAACGACGATACTTGTGAGGTTTGAAGCAAAAACCTTAAAAATGGGCAATAAATTGAGTTGGAAGTGCCTACAGCTGAGCAAAATCGCTCCAAGCACCCCTGAACCGAAATTTTGAACCTACCGTGACGAAAAGTATATTCGTCAAGAACCTCGGTGACGCATGACAAGGTTACAAAATTCATCACGTCAAGCACCCCCGTGACGCGTGACTGACGAATTGATTTTAATAGTACAGTACAGCTCCTAATAAACCAGCCCCACAACGAGTCGAAGACCGACCAAATCCCACTCCCCGTATCATCGCAAACTCAGATTGAGGGCTTGTCGAGTCACTCTGCTGGATGGCTGTGAAATTCGAAGTATGACAGCACCAATAAAAATAAAAATAAACTGTGGAGCACCGAACCGAACTTGGCGAGAAAGAAAAGGAAAATCGCTCAGCGCCTATGACCCAGGCCCGAATCGAACGGACTCCTTAACTACCAGCCTGGCTCAAAGGATGGAGATACGAACCATCTGCCACTGGTCGGTACCTTCCTTGTTTCGAACCTGGATACGTTGAGTGAGAAATAAGGGAGACATGAAATGTACCATATTTTATTCAAAGGGAAGGATGTATGAATGACAACTCACTCAATATTTTGCGGGTGGAAGGTAACCAGTATGCACAAATGAGACGGGGCTGGTCAGTGTGAGTTCAACCCAAAAAAAAAAAATGGATTACGCCGAGAAATGACCCAGGCCCGAATCGAACGGGTGCCTTCTCCTTACTTCTCTGAGAGATGGAGACGCGGTCCATCCGCCACTGGATCTATATGCAGCTTAGCTCGACCCTGGATTCGCGGAGCGAAAGTGCACTTCAAATAACTGAGCGTGATCAGCCAGTGTGCGAATCAAACAAAGGGAGACTGAACAAAAAGAAAAGAAAAGAAAACGTAGGTCAACCCCCGAATGACCTAGGCCCGATTCGAACGGACGACTTCTCCTTGGAAGTCTGAGAATTTATCAAGGAATGGAGACGCGGACCATCCGCCACTGGGTCTGTGCCTGCCTCATTTCGAGCCTAGATACGTTGAGTGAGAAATGGACAGGAGAAGGCACAAAATGACAGCACTGACAAAGACAGTGCGGTCCATCTGGAGGATATCCTCTGCATTGCAACACAGGTGATGTGAAAATCGCGCAAGTCAAGAAAAAACAATAAAATCAAGGCTATAATATATAATGACCCCCAGGCTCGAGTCGAACGGGCGACTTCTCCTTAAATCTTGCCTTCCCAGTAAAGAACTGGAGATGTGGACCACCCGCCACTGGGTCTGTATCCACCTTGTCATACATTCGGTGCTGCATTCTCCATGGGGAATAAATCCTCTCCGTATTGTGCGGGTAGATATATCGAGTATGCTGGAAGTGAAATAACGGAAAGTCAGAGCGAGGAAAGAAAAAGAAGAAAAACATCGCCCAGCACCTATGACCCAGGCCCGAATCGAACAGACGGCGTCTCCTTACGTGTTTCATAAAGTGTGGAAGGAATGGAGATGTGGACCATCCACCACTGGGTCTGCACTCGGCTTATTTTGACCTTGAATAACTTGGATAAGAAATAACTAGGAAAGCGATGGAATGTGCAAAAGTATATTCGAATGAAAAGGTGAATGTTTGCTTCGATCTCAGAGCATGAGCCGCAGCAAGTGGAGGCTGGTTGGCATGAAAGCAAGATAGAAAGCATAAAGCCGATGAAGTATGCAATAGTACATTTGAATGGAAGGATGAACATTTGCTTCGATCTCAGAGAATGAGCCGCAGCAAGTGGCATGAAAGCAAGAGAAAAAGAAAAAATACTAAAACCAAGGTCACAATATCTAATGACACAGGCCCGAGTCGAACGAGCTACTTCTCCTTAACTATTATACCGTGACTGGCCCAAAGAATGGAGACGCGGACCATCCGCCACTGGGTCTGTGCGTGCCTCATTTCGAGCCTAGATACGTTGAGTGAGCAATGAACAAGAGAGATGCCAAGGCTGCAATAGGACATCCGAATGGAAAGATGGACGTTTGGTTCGATCTCAGAAAATGAGCCGCAGCAAGTGGAGGCATGGTTGGCATGAAAGCAAGACAGAAAGTATAAAGTAGGGCTTGAACCCGTTCGACGTACGGGTTCAAGGCCTAGTACAAAGAAAAAGAGACAGAAAAAAAAAAAAAAAAAACTCCCACACTAAAAGATGACCCAGGCCCGGATCGAACGGGCTCGTTCTCCTGACACTAGATTTTATCGATCAAGAGAAACAGATGCGGACCATCCGCCACTGGGTCTGTATTCACTTTGGCGAGCCTGGACAAACCATGCAAAAAATCAACAAAAGAAAATTGGTAAAATTCGCATAGTAATCCGAAGGGCTTAAGAGTCAATGGAATGAACCAGGACTCGCCCGACATTTCGCGGGTGGGCTGCAAGTAAGACGAGGGTGGTCAGTGTGTGAATGAATCCATGGCAAGACAGGGCCATAAAAAATGTAAAAAATGTGAAAAAAGCGATAGATCTCTGGCGCATGACCCAGGCCCGGATCGAACGGGTGACTTCTCCTTACAAAGGATTTCCTCCAGTTACTCTGAAGAGACGGAGACGCGGACCATCCGCCACTGGGTCTGTACCTGCCTCATCTCGAGCCTAGATATGTTGAGTGAGAACTCTAGAAATGAACAAGAGAGATGCGAAGGCTGCATAGGCATAATGCATCGAAGCGACCCTGAACCACGATCAACTCAATATTTCGCATTTCGCGGGTGAGGTGTGGTGGGCTGCAACTAAGACGAGGGAGATCAATGTGTAAGTCCAATCAAAGGCAAGACAGCCATAAAAAATGTGAAAAAAGCGATAGATTTCTGGATGATGACCCAGGCCCGGATCGAACGGGCGACTTCTCCTTAAGCTGATAACACCTGAAAGGAAGTGGAGACGCGGACCACCGCCACTGGGTCTGTATCCACCTTGCTTCGAGCCTCGATAAATTGAGTAAGAATTGAACGAGAAACGCAGTTAAATATGCAATGGCACATTCCACGGAAAGTTAATAATCCCTCTCCGTAGCTAGTGCATTTCAAATAAACTGAGCGTGATCAGCCAGTGTGAAAATCAAACAAAGGGAGACCGAACCAAAAGAAAAGAACGTCGCGAGAAAGTTATGAACCAGGCCCGAATCGAACGGGCGACTTCTCCTTAAGCTTGATCACTCCCCCAAGGAAGTGGAGATGCGGACCATCCGCCACTGGGTCTGTGCCTGCCTCATTTCGATCCTGAACAAGCCGGGTGAGAAATGTAGAATTCACAATGGTAATCCGAACGGAAGGGTGCATGACTCACTCAATATTTCGTGGGTAGAAGGTAATCAGTATGCTCCAAATAAGACGCAGCTGGTCAGTGTGAATTCACCCAAAATAAAAAATAAAACAAAAAATGGAGTGTGTGGAGAATGACCCAGGCCCGAATCGAACGGGTGCCATCTCCTGACTTCTCTGAGAGATGGAGATGGAGACCATCCGCCACTCGGTCAATATTCAGCTTAGCTCGACCCTGGATACGCAGAGCGAAAAATAAATGAGAGGGTGGTAAAATTCGCAATAGTAATCCGAAGGGAACGGTGAGCGAGTCACGACTCACGCGATATTTCGCGGGTAGAAGAGTAACCCGCATGCTACAAATAAGATGAGAAGCTGGTGAATTGTGGAACATGACCCAGGCGTGAATTGAATGGGCTCCTTCTCCTTAATCTCTCCTCTCCAGTAAAGAACTGGAGACGCGGACCATCCGTCACTGGGTCTGTATCCACCTTGTTTCGACCTTGAATACATCTCCTAATAAACCAGCCCCACAACGAGTCGACGACCGACCGAATCCCACTCCCCGTATCATCGCAAACTCAACTTGAGGGCTTGTCGAGTCACTCTGCTGGATGGCTGTGAAATTCGAAGTATGACAGCACCAATAAAAATAAAAATAAACTGTGGAGCACCGAATCGAACTTGGCGAGAAAGAAAAGGAACATCGCTCAGCGCCTATGACCCAGGCCCGAATCGAACGGACTCCTTAACTACCAGCCTGGCTCAGAGGATGGAGATACGAACCATCTGCCACCGGTCGGTGCCTTCTTTGTTTCGAACCTGGATACGTTGGGTGAGAAATAAGGGAGACATGAAATGTGCCATATTTTATTCAAAGGGAAGGGTGTATGAATGACGACTCACTCAATATTTCGCGGGTGGAAGGTAACCAGTATGCACCAAATGAGATGGGGCTGGTCAGTGTGAGTTCAACCCAAAATAAAAAAAATTGGATTACGCAGAGAAATGACCCGGGCCCGAATCGAACGGGTGCCTTCTCCTTACTTCTCTGAGAGACGGAGAGGCGGACCATCCACCACTGGGTCTATATTCAGCTTAGCTCGACCCTGGATACGCGGAGCGAAAGTGCACTTCAAATAAACTGAGCGTGATCAGCCGGTGTGCGAATCAAACAAAGGGAGACTGAACAAGAAGAAAAAGAAAAGAAAAAAACGCCGGTCAACCCCTGAATGACCCAGGCCCGAATCGAACGGGCACTTCTCCTTACATCTTGACGGCAGGATATTTATTAAGGAATGGAGATGCGGACCATCCGCCACCGGGTCTGTATTGGCCTCATTTCGAGCCTGCATAAGCCGGGTGAGAAATGTAGAATTCGCAATGGTAATCCGAATGGAATGGCGCATGAACCAAGACTCGCTCGATATTTCGTCGGTGGGATATTTATGTGGACTGCAAGTAACACGAGGGTGGTCAGTGTGTAGAACCATAAAAACTGCGACAAAAAAGGTCGACTTCTCACGGATGACCCAGGCCCGAATCGAACGAGCAACTTCTCCTTAACCATTCATCTGACTAACTCAAAGAATGGAGACGCGGACCACCCGCCACTGGGTCTGTACTCGGCTTATTTTGACCTTGAATAACTTGGATGAGAAATGAACAAGAGAGGTGAAGTCCACCGTATTTTATTCGAACCACGCACGACTCACTCGATATTTCGCGGGTGAGGTGTGGTGGGCTGCAAGTAAGACGAGGCCGGTCGGTGTGCAAGTCCAATCGAAGGCAAGACAAACCTACCAAAAAAAGAGTCTACGAATGAGCCATGACCCAGGCCCGAATCGAACGGGCGACTTCTCCTGACTTGCGGATCGCACGGTACAACGAAATGGAGACACGGACCATCCGCCACTGGGTCTTCTCCCCCTTTTCTCGAGCCTGAATAAGCCGAGTGAGGAATAACGAAGAAAGCGGTGAAATCGCATCAGTACACTCAACGGAAAGTTAATAATCCCTCTCCGTAGCTAGTGCACTTCAAATAAACTGGGCGTGATCAGCCAGTGTGAAAATCAAACAAAGGGAGACCGAACCAAAAGAAAAGAAAAAGAACGTCGTGACAAATTCATGACCCAGGCCCGAATCGAACGAGCTACTTCCTTAAGTGCCTCAAACTGCTCAATGAGATGGAAATGCGGACCATCCGCCACTGGGTCTGTATTTGCCTTATTTCGAGCCTGGACATGTTGAGTAAGAAATGAACAAGAGAGGTGAAATCTGCCATACTTAGTACTATAGTACATTCGAAGCGTGACTGAATGACTCACTCGATATCTCGTGGGTGGAATATTTGTGTGGACCGCAAGTAAGACGCGGTTGGTCAGCGTGTAAGTGCAATCGAACGCAAGACAGCCATAAAAAAAATGTGAAAAAAATGTGAAAAAAATGTGAAAAAAGCGATAGATTTCTGGATGATGACCCAGGCCCGAATTGAACGAGCACTTCTCCTTACATCTTGACGTCAGCATTTCTGTCAAGGAATGGAGATGCGGACCATCCACCACTGGGTCTGTATGCACCTTATTTCGAGCCTAGATACGTTGAGTAAGAATTGAACAAGAGAGATGCCAAGGCTGCAACAGTACATTCGAATGAAAAGGTGAATGTTTGCTTCGATCTAAGAGAACGAGCCGCAGCAAGTGGAGGCTGGTTGGCATGAAAGCAAGACAGAAAGTATAAAGTAGGGCTTGAACCCGTTCGACGTACGGGTTCAAGCCCTAGTACAAAGAAAAAGAGAAAAAAGAAAAAAAAAACCCACTACACTACACTAAAAGGTGACCCAGGCCCGGATCGAACGGGCTCATTCTGCTGACATTTGAATTTCATTGATTATCTAAGAGAAACAGATGCGGACCATCCGCCACCGGGTCTGCATTTACCTTGGCTCGAGCCTGGACAAACCATGCAAAAAATCAACAAAAGAAAATTGGTAAAATTCGCATAGTAATCCGAAGGGAACCTGAATCACGACTCGCCCGATATTTCGTCGGCGGGATATTTATGTGGACTGCAAGTAAGACGAGGGTGATCAATGTGTGAATCCAATAGAAGGCAAGACAAAACTACCAAAAACAGGGACCGCGAATGAGTCACGACCCAGGCCCGAATCGAACAGGCGACTTCTCCTTAAACTTCACCATTGCCGCTAGCTTAAGGAAGTGGAGACGCGGACCATCCGCCACTGGGTCTGTACCTGCCTCATTTCGAGGCCGAATAACCCAAGTGAGGAATAACCAAGAGAGCGTTCCAGTCTGAACATATCGATATCCAGGTCGATACCGGTTGAATCCGTAATGCGGCCCTACGGGAGATATCATCGACAGAGGAAGAGAACATCGGGAGTAAAGCCATTATGCGGCGTACGGCGAGAGGGTCCGGCATGTGAGTGGAAGTGGAGTGAAATGTACTGTCAGATAGACCAATACAATTACACGAGTTAGATATGGCACAGATGTACCCGAGCGCGCGCGTCGTCGAGTCAGACGCTCTAGATTTTAGTTTTAGGCTGCCACCGTCAGTTTTCAATCCACATCCACACCCCCACACCCCCACACCCTCACACTTCAATCCACATCAACGACCCCGCACTCCTGTATCACGATCTTCGCGCCAGGGGCACCAGATCGGGAACCGCGCGCCTCGATGGCGCGGACGACGTCCATGCCCGAGACGACCTCGCCGAAGACGACGTGCAGGTTGTCGAGCTGGGGGTGGGGACGAACAAACACGGCGCGGGTGAGGGAGCGGAGCGAAAGGGAGGATTCGTGAAACGCAAGAGGGGAGGAGAAATGGCAAGGTCGGGGTCAGAGACGGGAGGAGTAAAGACGAGTAGAAGGGTACGCACATGTGGCGTCGGCACGGTGGTGATGAAGAACTGGGAGCCGTTGGTGTTGCGCCCCGCGTTGGCCATGCTGAGCAGCCCCGGGCGCGTGTGTTGGTGGATGAAGTTTTCGTCTGTGCCCGGTGGGCGGTGTCAGATGCGTGGAACGGGTCACCGAGAAGAGGCACACGCACCAGCAAACTTCTCCCCAAAGATACTCTTTCCCCCCGTCCCATCCCCGCGCGTAAAGTCCCCGCCCTGGAGCATGAACGCCGGGATAATCCGGTGGAACGCACATCCCCGATACCCAAACCCATGCTCCATCGTTGCGAGCTCGCGGAAGTTCTGCGCCGTGCGCGGCACCTCTGTGTCGTACAGCTTGAAGACGATGCGCCCGCTTGGCGTCGCGTTGATGTGGATGTCGAACTAGCACACACATGGCTTCAGTTCAGTGCAAGAGTCTAACTTGGAAGGGCGTACGAAGACGTTGGGTTTCCTGTGTGGAGTAGGCGGTTAGCACAGAGGGGAGGCGAAGAAGGGAGGGGAAGAGAGGACGTACGCTATGGTACTGGCGCCGGCGCTGGGTGCGGCGAGCCGGGAGGAGGAGGTGAAGCTACGGATGGCGCGCGCGACGGACATGATGGTCGAAGGCGGATGTGAAGAAAATTTGAGGTCACAGATGTGTCACTGATCGGGTAACGCTTCGTCGGCAAGTGCGGACCGGTTCGGCTGATGATCGATCAGGCCGAGGGTTGGTTGAACTGCGCGAATTTGTATCATTCATATCCACTTAAACCCACATTTCAAACCCTGGAAGAAGCGAGAGCACGTGAGGAAGTGAGCCTTGGTGCCTTCCCGGGGAAAAAAAAAAGGTGAGATGAGGTCGCCCTATGGTGGGGGGGACCCGAGTCGAACGGGCGTCTCCAGCAGATTTATAGCAATAGTATAGTGAAGCGGTGCACGCCGTGTGCGACTCGCCTCTTCTAGCTCACTTCTCAGCTCTGCTGTTCCGAGAAAAATTGTACAGCTCTGCCGCAGACGTGGCGATAGCTTCGGCCCTTGTTCGGCCCTGGGCACGGTTGGAGTTGTCCGTATCGGGGACCTAAGACAACCAATATATATACACTGCCCAGTTCAATTATAACAATCAGCAATCGTATTTGATTGGGGACAGTCGCAAAAAAATAAAAATAAGGGGAAAAGGATTACCCATCTCCCATATGGCGGGGACCCGAGTCGAACGGGCGTCTTCAGCAGACTATTGTCAATTGCTTCCATGGTGAGCTGGTGCACACCGTGTGCTACCCCGCCTTTCCTGCCTCACTTCTAACCTTAATATCCTGAGGACAAGACTGTCGGGCAAACGGCGAGAAGGCAAGACCGCGGATAGTTCATTATTCGGCCAAATAACGGGAACGCTTTGAAATACGGTAGTTGCCAGCCACAGTATGCACTGTCATCCCGCCTTATTCGCCTCAAATACTGAATATCGACTCTATTGCGCGGCCCGTGCATACTGGGAAACGTTGTTGGGAAGCCTGAGTCTTGCTGACCAAAAAAAAAAAAAAAAGAAGGGTAATTGCCCATAGCGGAGACTCAAGTCGAACGGGCGTTCAGGCGGATTTATTGTATGGGACCCCTTAATTGTGAACCGATGCACACCGCGTGCTACCCCGCCCTTCCTGCCTCAATTCTAACCCTAATATCCTGTAGTCTCTCGTAGACAGACGCTACAACAATATTAGTGCTCGTGCCTCGCATGTTGTAAATATCCTGAGGGAAATTGTGCAAGACTGCCGGGCAGACGTGGCGATAAATCAAGGCCGCGGATAGTTCGGTGAACCGTTGCACACCGTGTGCAACCCCGCCTCTTCTAGCTCACTTCTCAGCTCTGCTGTTCCGAGAAAAAGTGTCCAGCTCTGCCGCAGACGTGGCGATAGCTTCGGCCCTTATTCGGCCCTGGGAAATTGTGGGCACGGTTGGAGCTTTCCGTATCGGGACCTAAGATAACCAATATATATACAGTACCCAGTTCAATTATAACAATCAGCAATCGTATTTGACTGGGGACAGTCGCAACAAAAATAAAAATAAGAAAAAAAAGGATCACACATTTGCCCGATGGCGGGGACCCGAGTCGAACGGGCGTTTCCAGCAGACTGCTCTTATCCACACATTCTACGGTGAACCGATGCACGCCGCGTGCTACCCCGCCTTTCCTGCCTCACTTCTGACCCCAATATCCTCAGGAAAATTGTGCAAAGACTGCCGGGCCGACGTGGCGATAAATCAAAACCGCGGATAGCTCATTATTCGGCCGAACAATGGGAACGCTTTGAAATATGGTTGCCAGCCGGTGCCGTGGATACAGTGTGCACTGTCATCCCGCCTTATTCGCCTCAAAACCTGAATGCTGACTCTATTGCGTGGCCTGTATATACTGGGAAACATTGTTAGGAAGCCTGAGCCTTGCTGACCTAAAAAAAAAGGGTACGGATATGATTGTCCATGGCGGGGACCCGAATCGAAAGGGCGCTCCAGCGGATTTATTCAGATCTGTAATCTTGAGCGTGCATGATGAACCGGTGCACACCGCGTGCTACCCCGCCTTTCCTGCCTCACTTCTAACCTTAATATCCTACGGAAAAATAGGCAAGACTGCCAGGCAAACGGCGAGAAGGCAAGACCGCGGATAGCTCATTATAATGGGAACGCTTTGAAATATTGTAGTTGGGTACAGTGTGCACTCTTATCCCGCTTTATTCACCTCAAATACTGAATATTGACTCTATTGCGCGGCCCGTATATACTGGGAAACATTGTTGGGAAGCCTGAGCCTTGCTGAGCCAAAAGAAAAGAAAAGAAAAAAAAAAAAAAGGTACGGATATGACTGTCCATGGCGGGGCCCCGAGTCGAACGGGCCTGTCCGGCAGATTATTCTGCGGTCATGAAATACAATGATGAACCGGTGCACACCGCGTGCTACCCCGCCTTTCCACCTCACTTCTAACCTTAATATCCTGAGGAAAATTAGGCAAGACTGCTGGGCCGACGTGGCGATAAATCAAAGCCGCCGATGGTTCATTATTCGCTTTGAAATACGGTAGTTGCCAGCCACAGTGTGCACTGTCACCCCGCCTTATTCACCTCAAATACTGAATATTGATTCTATTGCGTGGCCTGTATACACTTGGAAACGTTGTTGGGAAACCTGAGCCTTGCTGACCAAATTTAAAAAAAAAAAAAAAAAAAAAAGGGGGTATGGGATATATGCCCATGGCGGGGACCCGAGTCGAACGGGCTTCTCCGGCGGACAATATCTCATGTAACATCTATAGTGAGCTGGCGCACACCGTGTGCTACCCCGCCTTTCCTGCCCCACTTCTAACCTTAATATCCTGAAAAAAAAAATTGCGCAGGACTGTCGGGCACGTTTGAGCCCTACGAAACTCGGGCAAAGGTTGATTTTTTTCCGGTATCCGTCAGCGACGAAACAGTCAAGTTCAATTTCAACACAGAGCAGTCCATACGCGGACAGTGAACGTAACGGCCTGGCGCAAGAAAAAAAGAAGAAAATTTGTTACCTCATCTTCTACGGCAGGGAACCGAGTCGAACGGGCTTCCAGCGGACAATGTCTCATGTAACATCTATAGTGAGCTGGCGCACACCGCGCGCTACCCCGCCTTTCTACTTAAATTCTGAGCCTCATGTCCTGGGAGAAATTGCCGGAACACACATTGAGCCTTACAAAATTCGGGCAAAGGTTGATTTTGTCCGGGATCTGTCAGCCACGAATCCAGTTTGAACAGTTAGTGATCTGATCTACAGTCACAAAAAAAAAAAAAGAAGGAAAATCCTGGTTGCGTTTCCTATATTATGGCGGGGACCCGAGTCGAACGGACGTTCAGGCGTATTTATTCAATCACACCCTCAATTGTGAGCCGATGCACGCCGCGTGCTACCCCGCCTTACCTGCCTCACTTCTAACCCTGATATCCTACGGAAAATCACGCAAGACTGCCGGGCAGACGTGGCCACTGGCGATAAATCAAGGCCGCGGATAGTTCATTATTCAGCCAAATAACGGGAACGCTTTGAATTATGGTAGTTGCCAGCCACAGTATGCACTGTCACCCCGCCTCATTCACCTCAAATACTGAATATCGACTCTATTGCGTGGCCCGTATATACTGGGAAACATTGTTTGGAAGCTTGAGTCTTGCTGAGCCAAAATAAATAATAATAATAAAAAGGATATGAGGATATACGCCCATGGCGGGGACCCGAGTCGAACGGGCCCGCTAGCGGATTTATTCATATCTGTAATCTTGAGCGTGCAACCGGTGCACACCGCGTGCTACCCCGCCTTTCCTGCCTCACTTCTAACCGTAACATCCTACGGAAAATTAGGCAAGACTGCCGGGCAAATATGGCGACAAGTCGAGGCGTAACTGGTTCATTATTCAGCCAAATAACGGGAACACTTTGAAATATGGTAGCTGCCAGCGCCAGCCGGTGCCGTGGGTACAGTATGCACTGTCATCCCGCCTTATTCGCCTCAAAACCTGAATGCTGACTCTATTGCGTGGCCTGTATATACTGGGAAACATTGTTAGGAAGCCTGAGTCTTGCTGACCAAAAAAGAAAAGAAAAAAAAAGGATATGGTGATATTACTGTCTATGGCGGGGCCCCGAGTCGAACGGGCTCTCCAGCGGATTTATTCAGCTCGTGGATCTTCGATTTCAATGATGAACCGGTGCACGCCGCGTGCTACCCCGCCTTTTCCACCTCAATTCTAACTCTAATCTGCCGAGGAAAATTGCGCAGCGCTGCCGCAGACGTGGCGAGTGGTTGAGCCCTTGAGCAAGGGTTAGTTTCCCGTATCGGGGTCCTAAGACAATAAATAGTGCCCAGTTCAAATTCAGCAAAGAGTAACCCATCCGCGAGCAGCCGAAAAACGGAGAGAAAAGGAAGGAAAAAACAGCGCCAAGCCTCGCACGACATGGCGGGGACCCGGATCGAACGGGCTTGTCCGGCAGATTATTCTGATTACCGAGATGGCATGGTGAGTTGGTGCACACCATGTGCTACCCCGCCTTTCCGTCTGAATTCTGGGCCCAATATCCTCAGGAAAATTATGCAAAGACTCCCGGGCAGACGTAGCGATAAATCAAGGCCGCGGATAGGTAGTTCATTATTCAGCCAAATAATAGGAACGCTTTGAAATATGGAATGCATACAGTATGCACCGTCATCCCGCCTTATTCGCCTCAAATGCTAAATATCGACTCAATTGCGTGGCCCGTATATACTGGGAAACATTATTTGGAAGCCTGAGCCTTGCTGATCAAAAAAAAGGGTATGGGGATATATGCCCATGGCGGGGACCCGAGTCGAACAGGCTCTCTAGCGGATTTATCTGCGGTCATGAAATATAATGATGAACCGGTGCACACCGTGTGCGACCCCGCCTTTCCCATCTCACTTCTAACCTTAATATCCTGAGGAAAATTAGGCAAGACTGCTGGCCAAACGTCGAGAAGGCAAGGCCGCGGATAGTTCATCATTCGGCCGAATAATGGGAACACTTTGAAATACGGTAGTTGCCAGCCACAGTGTGCACTGTCACCTTGCCTTATTCACCTCAAATACTGAATATTGACTCTATCGGCGAGAAGGCAAGGCCGCGGATAGTACATTATTCGGCCAAATAATGGGAACGCTTTGAAATATGGAATGCATACAGTATGCACTGTTATCCCGCCTTATTCACCTCAAATGCTGAATATTGATTCTATTGCGCGACTGGGGAAACATTGTTTGGAAGCCTGAGTCTTGCTGACTTTTTTTTTTTTTTTTTTAAAAAAAAAAAAGGGGGATGGATATGACTGCCCATGGCGGGGACCCGAGTCGAACGGGCTCTCCAGCGGATTTATTCAGACCGTGGATCTTCAATTTCAATGATGAACCGGTGCACACCGTGTGCTACCCCGCCTTTCCCACCTCACTTCTGGGTCTGATATCCGCAGGAAAATTGTGCAGGACTGCCGGGCACGCTCGAGCCCTACAAAATTCGGGCAAAGGTTGATTTTTTCCCGGGTCTGTCAGCGACGAAACAGTCAAATTCAATTTCAACACAGAGCAATCCATACGCGGACAGTGAAAGTAAGGGCCTGGCGCAAGAAAAAAAAGATGAAAATTTGTTACCTCATCTTCTATGGCGGGGACCCGAGTCGAACGGGCTTCTCCGACGGACCTTCCTGGCCTCACAATTCACAATGAGCCGATGCACACCGTGTACCGCCCACCTTCGACACCTCAATTCTCAATGTCCCAGAGTGAGTTGCGCAGGACTGCTGGGCTGACATGGCGAGCCATGGGAGGTTCGGGCGAGGGGTGCTGTTTTTCTCGCATGTCTTGGCGATGAGACAGTCCAGTCCAGTTCTAACGCAAAAAAAAAGTCACATTTCATTACGGACAGTCGCAAAAACAAAAACAAAAAAAAAGGATTATGCAATCTTATTATGGCGGGGACCTGAGTCGAACGGGCTTCTCCGGCATATTCATGTGTCATTGACAACACCCTATTATGAGCCGATGCACACCGTGTGCGACCCCGCCTTACCTGCCTCACTTCTGACCCCAATATCCTCAGGAAAATTATGCAAAGACTGCCGGGCAAACGGCGAGAAGGCAAGACCGCGGATAGTTCATTATAATGGGAACACTTTGAATTATGGTAGTTGCCAGCCACAGTGTGCACTGTCACCCCGCCTTATTCGCCTCAAATACTGAATATTGACTCTGATGCGTGGCCTGTATATACTGGGAAACATTGTTTGGAAGCCTGAGTCTTGCTGACCAAAAAAAAGAAAAGAAAAGAAAAAAAAGGGTATGGGGATATATGCCCATGGCGGGGACCCGAGTCGAACGGACTTCTCCAGCGGACAATGTCTCATGTAACATCTATAGCGAGCTGGCGTACACCGCGTGCCACCCCGCCTTTCCCACCTCAATTCTGAGCCTCATGTCCTGGGGAAATTGCCGGAACACAGCCTTACAAAATTAGGGCAAAGATTGATTTTGTCCGGGATCTGTCAGCGACGATTCCAGTTTTAACAGTGAGTGATCTGATCTACAGTCGTAAAAAAGAAAAGAAAAGAAAAACTTGCTACGTTTTCTATATGGCGGGGACCCGAGTCGAACGGGCGGTCAGGCGGATTTATTGTATGGGACCCCTTAATTGTGAGCCGATGCACGCCGCGTGCTACCCCGCCTTTCCTGCCTCACTTCTAACCCCAATATCCTCAGGAAAATTTTGCAAGACTGCCGAGCAAGCGGCGATAAACCAAGGCCGCGGATAGTTCATGATTCGGCCGAAAATGGGAACACTTTGAAATATGGTAGTTGCCAGCCGGTGCCGTGGGTACAGTGTGCGCTGTTACCCCGCCTTATTCACCTCGAATGCTGAATATTGACTCTATTGCATGGCCCGTATATACTGGAAACATTGTTTGGAAGCCTGAGCCTTGCCGACCAAAAAAAAAAGAAGAAGGGTAACTGCCCATGGCGGCGACCCGAGTCGAACGGGTCCAGCAAATTTATTCAGATCTGTAATCTTGAGCATGCATGATGCACCGGTGCACACCGTGTGCTACCCCGCCTTTCCCACCTCGATTCTGACTCTGATGTCCGGAGGAAATTGTGCAGTAGACGTGGCGATAGGGGTAATTTGGCAAGGTTTCGGAGACCCAAGGCAACGAATTCCGTGCCCCGTTCAAGTGTAACAAAAACTCGTCCATCCGCAATAGTGCCCAGAGCAAGCGAAAAAAGGAGATAGAAAATATGATGTACTCAATGCCATGTACAGGCGGGGACCCGAGTCGAACGGGCTTCTCCAGCAGACCTTCTGGTAGCAAATCACGGATAGTGAGCCGGTGTGAGCGAAACGGGGTATACGCGGGTTACTAGTAGAAGGCGTAACACGTGTATGCGCGAGCGAGTTGGTATTGCACGAATGTAATACCGTGAATGAATATATTTGAGTTCAGAAACCCTTATATAATCAGTCAACCGTGACTTTGAGAACTCAAGTGATAGCTTCACAGAGTTCAAGACCGTACCAAATCTATCTCTTATCTCAGGTCTAGCAACCTGATATAAAATACAGATACAAGAATCTAATTACGCCGTAAGGTCTAGCAATGATACAGCAAAAGTAGATGTTATCTAAGAGTACTGCAAGCCTAGCAGCGTTACAGTAATAGTAGATGAATATGTGAGCTAGCAGCTCAACTCAGATTCACGCAGATGTGCGGTTCACGATGGGGGTTGTATTGCAAAGTAAGTAGTGTGTCCTTCACAGAGGGAAGGACTCCGCTTATATGCTACTAGTGTGAGTCATAACTACGGGAGTCATATCACAGTGACTCAGAGTTTCATAGCCTCGTACTGCATTGGCGGGTGCGAGAGGATGAAACCTGTACAGCCAGAGTGAACCGTGAGAACACGTGAGAACATATCAAATAAGACATCGCCACAGAGTGATGGCTGCTGGCAAAGTTCAGGTGTGTGAAATATATACATGAAGGCTTGAATAAATAATAAATAATTTGTGGTACACTGTATTCCATCACAGCCGGTGCACACTGCGCGCTACCCCGCCTTTCCGTCTGAATTCTGGGCCCACTATCCCAGCGAGAATAATTCACCGGTGCCTTCGGGGATATCAGATTACTTGAGCCATTTAAGTTCGTTTACTTCACATAAAAAAAAAGTATGCACCACCCGGTACCCGCTACACTCCTGTTCAATTCCAACAAAGAAATAGTGGGAACCCAAAAGATCGATATTCAGTCTTTTATGGCGAGGCCCCGAGTCGAACGGGCGTCTCCGGCGGACCTTCCTGGTCTCACAATTCATAATGAGCCGATGCACAACGCCTTTTCTGACTCATGTAAGGCCCTCTTTCCCGAGGGAAATTGTGTAGAACTGCCGGGGAAACTGGGGCTGGGATGTTCGGGCAAGGGTGAGTTTTCCGTATCAGGGACCTAAGACAACGAATACAGCGCCCAGTTCAATTTTCCCAAACGATCCGCGACAGCGGCCCAGAGCAGCGGAGGAAAAGAGGGAGAAATAAAAGATCAACTCAACGCCATGGCGGGTACCCGGATCGAACGAACTTCTCCAGCGGGCCTTCTTGTACCAACTCGCGGATAGTGAGCCAGTGCACACCGTGTGCCACCCCGCCTTTCAGTCTGAATTCTGGGCCCACTATCCCAGCTCGAATAATTCACCGGTGCCTCGGGGATATCGGATTGCACGAGCCATTTCAGTTCGTTTACTTGACATAGAAACTATGCACCACCCGGTACCTGCTACACTCCTGTTCAATTCCAACAAAGAAATAGTGGGAACCCAAAAAGATCGATATCCAGTCTTTTATGGCGAGGCCCCGAGTCGAACGGGCGTCTCCGGCGGACCTTGCTGGTCTCACAATTCATAATGAGCCGATGCACACCGTGGGCGACCCCGCCCTTTATTTTCTGACTCAGCGTAAGGCCCTCTTTCCCTAAGGAAATTGTATAGGACTGCCGGGGGAACTGGGACTGAGATGTTCGGGCAAGGGTTGGATTAATCACTGCGTTGAGAGCGTCTGTAGTCACATTCTGACTACCTTGTCCGAGCTCAGTCTACGTTGGACTACCCCCGTAGTCGAAGTCGTAGGCAAAGGTTGGACCTTAGCCTACCTTGGCCTACCAGGGGTAGACCGAGCTCGGACCAGGTAGTCAGACTGCGACTGCGCAGGGCTCAACGCAGTGATTTTCTTTCTCGTATACCTCAGCAGCGAAACGTTCCAGTCCAGTTCTCGCGAGGATTAATTCGATTTTATTGCGCACAAGTCGCAGAGAAAAAGAAAAAGAAAAGAAGAAAAACTTGTTGCGTTTTCTGTATGGCGGGGCCCCGAGTCGAACGGGCTTGTCCGGCAGATTTTACCGCGCGCTACCCCGCCTTTCTACATAAATTCTGAGCCTCATGTTCTGGGGGAAATTGCCGGAATACAGGTTGAGCCCTAGGAAATTTTGGGGCTAGCGTTCGTTTTTTCCCGGATCTGTCAGCGATGAATCCAGTTTTAACAGTTAGTGATCCAATCTACAGTCGCAGAAAAACAGAAGAAAAATCTTGGCTGCGTTTTCTGTATGGCGGGGACCCGAGTCGAACGGGCGGTCAGGCGGATTTAATCATCAAGACCACCTCAATTGTGAGCCGATGCACACCGCGTGCTACCCCGCCTTTCCTGCCTCACTTTTAACCCCAATATCCTGAGAAAAATTGTGCAAGACTGCCGGGCAGACGCGGCGATAAATCAAGGCCGCGGATAGTTCAGTATTCAGCCAAATAACGGGAACGCTTCGAAATATGGTAGTTGCCAGCCACAGTGTGCACCGTCATCCCGCTTTATTCGCCTTAAATACGCAATATTGACTCTATTGTGCGGCCCGTATATATTGGGAAACATTGTTGGGAAGCCTGAGCCTTGCTGACCAAAAAAGAAAGAAAAAAAAGGATATGGTGATATTATTGGCTATGGCGGGGACCCGAGTCGAACGGCCTTCTCCAGCGGACAATGTCTCATGTACCACCTATAGTGAGCTGGCGCACACTGCGTGCTACCCCGCCTTTCCTGCCCCACTTCTAACCTTAATATCCTGAGGAAACCTGTGCAAGACTGCCGGGTAAACGGCGATAAGGCAAGGCCGCGGATAGCTCATCAATGGGAAGACTTGAAATATTGGCTGCATACAGTATTATTCGCCTCAATACTGAGTCGACTGTATGCTGGGAAACATTGATTGGAAGCTTGAGCCTTACTGATCCAAAAGAGAACAAGAAACAAAACAAAAAAAGCATGTGGGGATATTGGCCATGGCGGGCCCGACTCGAACAGGGTTTTCCTCCGATACAGAGATGCCATGGCGAGCTGGTGCACACCGC